GTTGGCCTGGGCCCATTGATCCAGTCTGTCCTCAGTGAATGAGGAAATATTTAGACATCACAGATTGTCAACTCAGAAGGTTCCTATCTCATAGGCAGTAATCAAGGACGTGCCCATTGGTCTCCTTCACCTACAGGATGTGACATATAATATTCTGCAGCTTCTTATCCCCAGCCTAAGGGGGACGCTGATGCTGACAGTTCAGGTCTCCCTCTCTGATGCACATGAGGCTCATCAGAAAAGACCAGGCTGTCATTTACTTCGGGAAGCTGACACTTTCTAACGTATGTTTGCAGTGGGCACTGACTGCAAGTTTGCAGAAATCCAATGTTCTTTTTATCCCTCAATTGACTTCCAAATCTTGATCTTTAGTATGTCACTGTACCTCCACAGTGCAAAAAAAAATAAGAGCCTGGCAGGATGCAGAGTTTGCTGCTTTACAAAGCAGCATGTCTGTGGAGGAGATCTTTTCCCATTTCCCATTCCCCACCAGGATTTTGGAAAAGGAGCTCTCTGTCTACCTCTGATGAGGTGGACAGGAACAGAGATGGAGGACAGCAAAAGAAAAAGATGAGAAAAATATTTCTAAAACCTAGGAAAAACATTGTTTGAGGAAGAAAAGGACGAAATGGGATCTAGTCAGCTTTAGAGTTAACCTTCCAACCTCCCATATCCTGTAGGACGCAAGGAGCTAAAGAAGAGCAAGACCTGGCAGTTCTCCACACACACTTCTAAATATTGTTGGTGCTAATACTTCCAGTTATATTTACCCACAGAGACAGGAGTTCCTAGTCATGCTACTCACCTGTCCTTTTGCTCCTAAGACACTGTATTTTGTCATTATTTTAATGGAGGTGGGTCAGGAACAAGATTTTTGAAAATTCTACAAGAATTCTAGTTAATACAGCTGCAGTTATGGATATTCATAATACAGAAAATCTCATCTGTTACTTTTAATCTAACCAAATAATCACACTGGACCCAGTAATTCATAGTCTTTGTATACAGTTAGTTATTCCCTTTGTTATCCTTTCCTTTTTTAGCCACTCTAAAACATTAAAATAAACCTTATTTCTAGAACTTTATGAATAAGACAGCAGTAACCATCCATCAAAACATTCTATTTTAATTATTCTTTTTAAAAGTGTAATACAGGGCTGGGGAATCAAATGACTAGAGTATTAATCTCTAGCTCATCTTATACAGACATTAAAAATAACTCCTATAAAGAAATCTCTGTGCTTGAAGTATCCAAATTTACCATTTTTACCATTGAAGATTTTAGGGTTTTAGCATGTCCTTTAGAAGCATCTAAGAATTTCACTGGATTCTTGTGAATATTTCCCTTGCATTTGGAAGAAGTTTTGGTGCCCTTTTAAAGTAAAATTGAAACTAATTTGATAGGCTGTAATAGAATAAGAATTTAGCTTTTGTAAGCAGAATATATATGAAGAGTTTTCCAAAGCTAGTTCATTTCCAATGTTCAACAGTTTGCTGATTAAAGACATGATTGCTGTAGCTGAATGTTTCTGTGCAGAAACAAATTACACAATCTGCTGTGGTTAATACAGTAATAGAGTCCTTTCAAGTGGCCTCCTTTCAAAATGGAATTCAAATTTATAAATAAGCCAACTGTGTTTTCATTAAACTTACTGAATAAATCAATCTGGAGTATTTGTATGTGAAATGGCATCTCTTGATTCTCAGAATCTTACCTTGTTCAAAAAGTTGAATGCTTCAGAAGCACCACAGACAATACAAATTACCACATGCATCCCTCAGCCTTACTAGTACGAGCACTGGAATAAAGAGCCTCCACTATGTGCTGTTTTCTTCAAAATAATTATGTTATTAACCCGTCACTTTATCAAATCACTATTCATGAAGCCTACCCTAGACCAAGTCAAACTTGCCAGGTACTTGCCAGTATGGTATTTTCAATTTTTAAACAATATTCTTTAGAAGCCTCATCTGTTTTTCACTGGTGTTTATATTCCAAGACAACCTACTTCAGGCTTACACTTGAATGTGGCACAGATAAGATGCTAGTTACTAAAATGCCCAACTGTACTTTTACCAAAGGGAAACAAACATCCCCTTTTTTCT